AAATGGCAACTAAGCATTCCTCTCATATTGGCCGGAAGGGCAGTACGGAGTGATCGTAGTTGTGAGCAAGCAAAGACGAAATATGGGGTCATATACCAGCGGAAGAATAACAAATCATGCTCTACAAATACGTGCGTACAGAGGTGTGCAGACCCCTGCTTCATCCCCACGTACTGGCACTACTGGCCTTATCTTTTGTCAGATTGTCAGTTGTCAAAATGATTTCTTAGCGAGGGGCAGCGAATTTATTGCTCTCACGGAAACGGCCGCGAAGTCAGCTGATGAGTCAACTAGGAACAAACCTCATGATTTCATTAGTCAACTTTACAAAACTTAAGTTCTGTGTTGCATGTCGGAGGATAATTCATTGGTTGTCTAGCGAAGATAAGTTAGATTACGTCTGCCGCACGGGTTGTCGGTACAAACTCGATGTACTGAGGGTCAGGGATGCTCTCCTCCCGGAGAAGAGGACGCTTGACCTACATGGTCGGTGGTCAGGTCAAGATAGCTTACACCGCGCCGGTGTGGCTATTCTCTTGTCCACTATAATAAGCCCGGGGGTCATTTCCATAGAACAGACGCCGGAGAGAATCAATCCAGGTCTGTCGCATGAATGTCAAACATGCGACAATGTCACCTATGCCCCGGTAAAAGTGTCAAGCGACAGCGACAAAGATGCTTTCTATGACTGCTTGCAGTAGGTTGCTAGTGCTTTATTGCGCCACGACGCTGTGACGTCACAATCGTCACAGGCGACCTCAACGAGAAGGTGGGTGCCGAGTACAGCAAATGTTCAGGCGAACTCGGCCGTCATAACACTGGCAACGCGAATGACAAAGGCATCCGTCTGCTGAACTTTTGAGACATAAACAGCTCAATCGTCAGCTGGACCCCCTTTCCTCATAAGTGAGTTCATCATAAAACCACCCTCGTACCTGCGGATGGAGGACCAAACTCGCAGATAAACCACGCCCTTATCGACAACAAATGGCGCAGCGCGTTACTCGAGAGTCGCGTTAGGTGTAGCGCCTGCATAATGCGATCCGATCACCGTATATACGCATCGGAACCTCGTCTAAACGTAGCAATGTCACTTCGATGTCATCTGGTTGATGCGAGTAAGCGTCTCGACGCTGACAGTCTGAGATATAAGGAAATGGAGAGTTCGCCATAGCGAAAGGAGATAGAGAGTCATTTTAATGCCATCCTTAGTGCCCATTCGAGAAGTGGTAACGTCGATGAAGCTTTTGAAGGACTTCAAGAAGGTCGTCATTTCCTTGGCAGAAAACGTAGTAGGTGTCAGGAAAAGAATTGTCAAACTATCTTGGGTTACTGAGAAGGCTTTAGTTCTTCGAGTGCAAAGGAACTAGGTAAAATAGGTATTCAACACACCCTACTGCATTCTCGAAGGCAGCTCATCACCGTCTTGTTCGTGCAGCCAATGAGAGTTGCAGGCGGTACAGAGAACTTTGCATGAAGAGGAAAATCAGAAAGAACGAAAAGGCAGCCACAAGGGTGAGTGGCGAACGGTGTTCAGATGGATGTGACAGTCATCCAGTAAGCGGGGGAGGGGGTTCGACATACCCCCTTAGTAGGTCAAAAGGAACGCCTCAAACTATGGACTGAGTATTTCTTGCAGCTGCTCAGCGGTTGCCGCCACCTCCCAACCAAGATTCGTCACTGCCGACCGTTAATTTCTGTCAACACCAGAGGTTAGTACAGATCGACTCACAAAACTAGAAATCTGAATAGCCATGCTACACCCCATGGTCAAGAAAGCCAACGTAGATGGTCATGTCAGGAGGAACGGGAATGGTAGAAAACCTCCATTTCGCGCTTCATCAAATGTGGACATTGGAGAACGGAAGTGTGGACTAACTGTCCCTATATTTAGAGGCAGCCCAATGGCCGAGTGATCCAATTTTCATGTAATCAAACTATTATCCACCGCCGAAAAATTTGTCTCGCGGATCATTTACAAAGAATAATGCGGGCAGTTTATTGGAGACCGCCCAGATCAGGCAAGCGCTAGCATCGGGAACTTCTACTCCAACCAAATTTTCACTCTTCCGATTAGTGAAAAAAAGATTTAGATCATTAAAAGGTGTCGACGATTCCGCTTGCCTCGGTTAGCCGGTTTTCTCGACTTTGAAGCTGCATTTGATTCACCACATCGTCCGACGATGTGAAAAATTTTTTAAGTGCTATGAGATATTTGAACACTACTTTTCTATTTCGGAAGAGATGTCTGCAAAAACCACGTCTGCTGTCAAAGATGAAGGAGAGTTGTCTAACTGGTTCCCTATTTGGCGTGGAGTTCGCCAGGAAGTTGTGCCTTCGCCCTTGCTATTCAGCACTGTTTTTAACTTTCTTCTGTGAAACGGTGCTGAACCTGACAAAGACAAATGTCTCATTATGAAGGGAAGGCGCTGTTCAGGATATTTGACTAGACCTCTTGTCAACCTGGAGTACACAGATAGTAGTGTTCTTGTGAGTAGTATGCGAAGCGGCAGCGGGATCAGTCACATGACGGCTAACGTATGCAACGCAGCCTAAAGCCAGGAAGTCAAAAGTGATGAAGAACTCATCCGGCCCAGCTGACCTAGAAATGGAACAGAAAGGTAAAGCGCTTCAGATGGTTGACTAATTCAAGCATCTCAGTTCCATCATTTCCAGAAATTGTTTTAACCAGCCAGAGTTGCCTTAAGAGGACCGTCCTAGCCTCGAGGAGAACTTATTCAATTTTTTAGCTGAGAAATGAGTTACTCTTTCCACACAAAAATCCGCCTGTATCAGCTTCTGTCAGTTCAGCACTGTTTCACAGCTCGAGGAAGATGTTTAAACGAAGGACCAAGAACGACGGTTGAACTGCATGGAGCATCGTTCGCTTCGACGCATAATGAAGGTTAAATAGCTGGATCACGTCACTAGGCAAGGTGACCTCGATAGATGTGGAGATTAAGAAGAGTAGGTTAGCCCTGCTAGATGAACTGGTTGAGCATGCACCATTCACTACAGCCCGTGAGTTTCTCGTAGAGGTGCTGAAACACAATAGATATTGACCAGGGGACCAACAGTGTGGAGGAACAAGGTAGGAGCAGATTTATCTTAGGAGGGCAATATTTCTTTCAGCGGTGCAGTAACTGGTGCCTTATAGCAAAAGTGTTGAAAAGCTTGCGGATTCAACGGACATCACAAACCAGAGACGTTCTACTTATGCATACTACTATAGATGGTGATCTGAAAAATGATGAAATAGGAGAGGCCTTCTCCAACGTTTCGTCGGTATTCGCATAATTTGTTTCAGGTTTATAAGAAAAAGAACTGGTCAAAGAGCCAGGATGAAAAAGAATTCTTTTGTCAGCCAATGTTTATATAAGCTGACTTGTCACAACGATAAAAAATGATTAATAAACTGAGCTTCTCTTCGGCTTCCTAAGCTTCCGTCCGCTTTAACTTAACTGTAGGAGTCAGAATGTATGCAGGTGAAATTTTCGACGCAAATTTTATTACTCGCTCCATATATTCCACTATTCCACCGCTGCATCCTACTCAGGAAGACGGGTAATGACTAAAGTAAGAAATCGCACGTATCGCGAAATACGGTAAAGTTTACGTTCCTGGCTTATTACGGTAGTTCCCAAGGCGTGCCGTGAAAACTTCGAGTTGTGCGCTAAGCGGACTGACAAATCTTCCGTGCTTTTTAATGCTGCCATGTGAGAAACACTGAAACTACAAACGGCGCTAGGAAGGACTGGAAGCCATGTGTAGTTCTACTTCCCAGAGTAAGGATGGTGAAATCTTTTTATTGTCACGTCTACATTCTGAGCGAAAGGACCGGAGACAATGCGTGACGGATCGTATCAGGAGGCGTAAGGGTCACCTCACTCACTGCGTCACTCGTTTAGCCATGTCGTAAAAAATCTGAAATATTAGCGCTGCCCATAATGCTGTATTCATGTCATCATCCCTCAAAATGAATGTCCATCTTTGCATATTGCTATTTGGCTTTAACCCTGTTTAGTAAGGCAGCGGTTCCACAAACGATGATAGATAACCAGGTAGAAGATCCGTACGAGTGGGCCAAACGCGCCGCTCGAAATGAATGATCACTCTCTGACTGGTTCAACATTGCTAGTGGAATTTGTTAAGGCAGTAAGCTCTCACCATTGTTGATCATCATAACAGCGGAATTTGCCATGCCGAAGAGCGTCGTCCCAATTTACAACAAGGGGTTGTCCATAAGTCAGCGATGCAACTCGAGATACCCTGCCGTATTCGTCACTGACCTTGAGTACGACGGTTACATTGTGTTGTTGAACGTATCCGCAGGTGACTCAT